AATTACGAAAACAATAACGAAATTTTGAAGACACTGGACACTTGCACGATGACTTGATGAATTTAACAAAACGTAATCGAAAAATATGTGTACAAAATACACTTATCCGAGACAAACCGGTCCGGTTAATGCGATATTGCGTTTTCTCGGCTCTTCTAGAATCTTCCAATCGATACCACCACCCCCCCGCACTAGCGACCTTTTATCGCTACTCCGAGCACCGGTCGTCGGAACATTGCGGTGCAAGTCAGTCGTCGGCGTTTCTTTTTCCTGGCTGTGTGGTCGTCGGCGCTCTGGGTCCGGTGTACCATCATTGTTGCCATTTTGGCGTGCGACGTTCCGTTGTTGTCGCTATGGTGGCCATTGGCGTACGACGTTTTGTTGTTGCGGCTGTTGTTGCCACTGTCGTTGCTGTTGACGTGCGACGGTTTTCGACGTCCAGTTCACGTGGCTGTTGGTGCCGCTGTTGCTGCCGTGGACCATTGGAGTTGTGTGGGCTGTGGTTGATGGTGGTGTGAGTCGGCGTCGGTGAGAATACAACGTGCTGTCCGTGCACTGGAGCAATGTCAGGTTCATTTATTGGTTTATATCATTATTTTAATTCTGGTCGTATTGTCCTTTATGTACAGTAGTCACTCGATAATTCGAAATTCGGGGGACCGAGTTAAAAATTCGATTTATAGAGGTTTTCGATTTACCGAGTGTTCGAATAATCGAAGGAAAAAAAATTAATAAATAAAATACATTGTACGATATATACATATATATATATATAACGTTTATTTTGACATTAACTTATCATAAATATAATTATGTACATTTTAAAATTTTTAATTGATATTTATTTATTACACATACATAGTATTATATTTTATATACATATTACATATTAAAGAAATCTGTTTTTTTTTTTTGTGAAAAATTGTTGGTCGCAATCTGGTCCATAGCATTGTCTAACTTAATAATAGCATTAAAAATTGTATCGCATCTTTTTTCGTCCATTTCAGATTGTTCAAAAAATTGACGTAATCCTGACATAAACAATTTTGCTTCTTTTAACGATATGACAGGAACCTCCGCCTCCTCTTCCTCGTCATCATTGTCAGAATTGTGCTGATTGACTGAAGTGGATTGAATAATTTCCTCGTCAGTAAAAGTACCAGCAGTTGCGACATTATCGTCAAAGTGAACAAATTCTTCAAATGATACGGGAACTTCTAGTCTGTTCCATGTGCTAAGCAGAACTTCAACCTCCTCACTTTGAACAGGAATACCTTCACCAATTTTCTGTCCATCCTTAATAAAACCACAAGTTCTGAAGCAATTCACGATGGCTTGTGCACTAACATTTTCCCATGCTTTGAGTACCATTTTCATAGCAGTGAGTATAGAAATTTTACATGGAACATCACCCATGCACGCCAACACTTCTCGAACAATTTCCTTTCGATACATCATTTTAAAAATTTTTATTATTCCTTGGTCTAGTGGTTGGAAAGTTGATGTAGTGTTGGGAGGTAAAAAATTAATTTTTATATTTTCAAGATGAGGAATATTATTGTGTGAAATTCGAATTATAGAGATTCGTGAAAAAAAAATTCGAATTGTAGAGTGTGCCTCACCGACAGACATTTCGAATTATCGAGGGGACCGGAATACATGTATTTTTTTCTAATTATAGAGGTTTTCTCATGGGACTTAGCGTTTAGTTCGATTTATGGAGTTTTTCGAATTATCGAGGTTCGAATTATCGAGTGACTACTGTATATTATTTTTAGTTAGCGGGCGCCCCAATCAAATATGTAACCAATCAATATGTACTTTGTATACCTTGAATTTATAGTTGTATTTGTTTATTTCAATAACACGGCGGTGCTGCTGGCTTGCCGTCATTATATGTATACGGTGTGTTATTTTATTTATTCACCATATGCGGCATATATTGTAAATTGGTCACCTTGTCCTGTCCCGTTTAATTATTATAGTTCATAAGAATAAGAAGCCAAACAACGAAAGCAGACAAGGGTTAATTCCCACGTAAAAGGAGGCTGTCTGCGTTGGTAAGTTTTTTTTTTTTATCCTCTTTTTACACAAACACTGGATCTTCTCACTATAACTATAAAGGGTCAAATAGTATAATATTACTGGCAATGTGTGATGCCAGTTACAACTTTGTATTAGTAGATATTGGTGCAGCTGGTAGATGTAGCGATGGTGGTGTATTTTCAAGCTCAGAAATGGGCAAAAGTTTTATTAACAATATATTAAATGTACCTACTGAAAAAGAAATAGGTCAATATGGTCTAATTCCATTTTATGCAGTAGCTGACGAAGCATTTCCTCTGCTAAAGAACCTAATACGCCCTTTCCCAGGAAGAGGTAAAAGAAAATTACCATTAGATGAATCAATTTTCAACTATAGGTTGGTTTTATCTATTAAACAAATTTTAAAATTAATGTAGATAACTAAAATATTTTTTCAACACAGGCTATCCAGAAGTAGACGTACCATTGAGAATACGTTTGGTATTATGGCATCTAAATGGCGTATTTTAAGAAGGCCTATAATTGCTGGAGAAAAAACCGTGAATGCAATTACAAAAGCTGTTGTTGTATTGCATAACTTTGTAAAAATGTCAGAAAAAATGCTAGTAATTATTTAATAAAATAAAATAAATTTTTTAACTAACATTATGACACATTTTATAGAAGTTCGATATTACAGTAGCCCATTAGATGTTGAACTTATTCAAAGGGAACAATGGAGGTCACAAGAAATGGGAGCTTTAGCCAGCGTCCATCAATTAGGAACCAATACTTAATCGACAGACGCCAAAATAATAAGAAATAAATTAAAAAATTATTTTTCAACAGAAGGAGCAATTGCATTCCAATATGAAAATATATGAATACCTACAATTAATTGAATAAAAAATTTATTTGAACAACGAAATCTTAACATCTTAAAATGATTTAAATTATAACAAAAAAAACAACATTATCTCACATAATTATATAAGACTTAAGTAGCATAGATTCCATTTGGATTCCATAATGACTAAGCCGTCGCCGTGTAAAAACTAAAAAAATAAAAGTAAAAAAGTGTACTGTGCACAAGTAAAATAAGATTGTGATAACTGATAACTGTCAATTAACTGATGATATGAAACATGTTATCAAAAACTTGTAACAAGTACACCATAGAGTAATATAGAGAGGGCATAGTCTATACTGTACGTATTAAGAAAGTGAAGCCGGGCAGTAATAATAGTACTCACTTACCGAAACTATTGGTCGCGAGGTAGCGTGCATGTTCTAACCCCAGATTTATATTTTGTACATTTTTTATTTAACATTTTATTATCAACAACGGTTTTATGATTGAGCATTCTCATTCC